CCATCCTCACAGTCACTCAATCCTCACAGTCACTCATGCCTCACAGTCACTCGGCACTCGCGCTCGGCACTCGCGCTCGGCACTCGCACTTAGAACTCGCACTCAGTAGGTACCTGCGCTCACTAGGGGTATGTACAGACTCCGGAGAAACTCCTTCAGTCCAAGCGTTATAACAAGCCAATCATGACATAAATCAGTCACTCATGCTATGGCGTGCGGCCCGATCCCATAAATAATAATATATATAAAGTCAATATCATGTTGCGGCGTGCAGTTCGATCCCATAATCATCCTCACAATCAGGCCCTCGGCCTCACTCAGTCATCAATCTCTCCAGTCTCTTGGGCTCACAATGTCATGAAAATCAGCCCAAAATGATGCTATGATGAATCAATAAATAGCAACAGAGACTGAGAGATAATATGAAATGAATGAACATGACTGAGTTTTAAAACTTCAATTTAAACAAATTCAACAACAATATGACCTCTGTGGGTCTCAATGATACTGACATATAGCCTCAACATGATTTTAACATGATTCTCAGCTCAATAGCTCTAGTACGTAGAGATTTCCATGATGTCAGATAAGTTCAGGTAACTACACAGTACCACAGGAATAACGGAATCACAGTTCATACGGTGCACGCCCACACGCTCGTCACCTAGCATGCGCGTCACCTCAATACCAAACACATAACATGTATAATTCAGGTTTAAAAAACTCAGCTCCAAGATTAGAAGAGTTACTTACCTCAATTCGAGCAAATTCTTTATTCCAATAAAACTTTTTCTCATGATTCAGCCTCCAAACGCCTCGAATCTTAGTCAAAATAATTCGATACAATCAACACGAGGTATAAGAATCAATTCCATATGAAAATGCTAAATTTCACAATAAAACCCCGAAATTAATTCAAAAATTAACAGTGGGACCCACATCTCAAATCGCAGAAAACTCATGAAATCTGAACATTCGTTCCGATACGAGTTCAACCATACAAAAACTATCGAATTCCGACATCAGATTGACCTTCAAACCTTCATTTTATATTTTTTGAAGATTTTATAAAAATCTAATTTTTCTTCCATAAATTCACGGATTCATGATGTAAATGAATATGAAATTATAAAATATAATCAATATAGGATAAGAAACACTTACCCCAATATTTTTCCGTCAAAATCGCCCAGAAATGGCCTAAATCAAGCTCCATAAACTCAAAAATGAGTAAAAATGGCAAGAACCCCGTTTTATAGACCCTCTGTTGTTTTCGAGTGCCACAGGAGCGTGGGGCGCTGCCTGTGGCGCAGTATCCAGTACCCCAACAATTTCAAGCGCCCCACGCTGCCCTTGGTGCTGGCGGCAATGGAAAATTATTTTCGACACGGAAATGGGCATAACTCTCTCATATGATGTCCGAATTCGACGATTCTTTTTGCTATGGATCCATAATTTCAATACGGATCTAATGCTTCAATAAGAACTGAATATGGATATCATTTTCTTAATGTGATACTATAATACTCGAAGAAGTGACGTCGAAACATCCTAGGTTCGATGTCGAAACATAGCAAATCAAGTCCGATTGACTTCAAATTTTGCACATAAGTCATAAATGACATAATGGACCTATTCCAATTTTCAGAATCGGATTCCGACCCCGATATCAAAAAGGTCAACTCCCAGGTCAAACTTCCTAACTTAAATTTTTATTTTAGTCATTTCAAGCCTAATTTAACTACTGACTTTCAAGTAATTTTTCGAACATACTCCTAAGTCTAAAATTATCATACGGAGCTATTGGAACTATCACAACTCCATTTCGGAGTTGTTTGCACAAAAGTCAAACTTCGGTCAACATTTTTCATTTAAGCTTCCAACATGAAATTCATTCTTCCGAACTAATCCCGAAACACCTGAAAATCAAAACCGACAATTCACACACGTCATAATACATCATATAAAGTTATTCAAGATTTCAAATAGTAGAAAGGAGAGTAATTACTCAAAACGACAAGTTGGGCCGTTACAGTTTGCAAGCTGATTATGAACTTCACTAAGTTTTCAATCATCGGTAGTATAACCCAAAAATAAAAAATACTTTATTTCATAAAGGTAATAACTCGTTGTCTAGTGATTTTTAAACTACTGAAAGCCTACCTCATTCATAGTATTAAAAATTTTGATCGGTAATAACCGATTATTATATGCGATTTCTTAATTAATTAGGTTATATTATATGTTAACTACAAATTGTCAATGTCATAGATTAATGGCTAATTCAAAAAAGTTCATTAAAGAAAAGAAATAGAGGCAAAAGAATTAAGAAAAATATATATATATATATATATATATATATATATATATATATATATATATATATATATATACATACATACTTGACCAGATAATAAAACCATAGAATTAGCTACCATAATATATAAGCTACACAATTACTTGGAATCATGATGACAAATGTTTAAGTCACAAGTTTAGTTGAGAGAAACGACAACGATTCCTAAAACTAAGAGGAATGGAAGTGCTCGAAATGTTAACATGCTAAAATTAGATCGGGAAAGGACTCTCATTATATTTTTTTTCCTTTACAAATTTGTGATATTATATAATTTAAATAAGGAAGAATTTAATACACTAAAAAATGTTGATTTCGAAGATCTAAATATTAGGAAAATAATTAAATGGTTATTCCTAAATATTAAAAAAATAATTAAATAGCTATTTTGTCTAGTATGAAATCAAACTTTAAAAGGTAAAAATGGCGAACGACATTTCACTAAGAGAATTTGTGCTTTTAATATAAATATAGATAGATAGATAGATAGATAGATAGATAGATAGATATAAATAAATACTACGGGGAGATAGAATTAAAATAAATTAAGTCTTTATCTTAGCATACGTGTGTTGCACGTGTGCCTAGCATCAATCAATAAAATATATGTATAAAAAGAACATGTAAATTAAGTTTTAAAATATGTGCCTAGCGTCAATCACTAAAGAACATGCAGAGAGTTTTAAAATGACTACATTAAGGTAATATTTTACAATAAATAATTTAATATATTAAAAAAATAAGAAATTATCATTTATTAAAATGAATATATTAAAAAATGACAAGTCACTTAGTATCATTTTTTTTGTCTTATATTGTTTCACCCATATTGCATAAAGTTTGCATTTTTACCAATTTAACTTTTAATACTATATTATAAACGGATTTTTATGAAAATTTCAAAAAAGGTAATTTTTTTTATTTTCATTTTTGCAAATTAGTTAATTCAAAGACATATTACCAACCAATTTCTTACTTTTATATTCTTAAAATTAAAATATTTTATTAGTTAAGCTTGATACTTAAATTTTAGAAATTTTGGAATTAATGAATTTTGAGATTACTCCCAAACATGGTTTAATAACCAAAACTTTAATTTATTTTAAAATTTTAAAATATTAGAGAAATAATTAAATAATTATCTTATTGTTTACAAAAATACTCATAAACCTTAGAAAAGAACTCCTAAACTTGAAAAAACGAAAAAGAAAGTAATGTCTCATAAGCAAAGAAAAGAAAAACAAGGACTACTAAACTAATACTCGTAAACATTAAAAGAAGACACCTAAAACTGCTAAATCTAAATGGTTGATATGAAGGAGCCCTAAAATTGGACGGAAATTGAAAGTACTGGATTTTATATCGAAATTCTAATATTAGAGTAATAATTATTTGATTATTCTAAATATTAGAGAAATAGTTAAATGACTATTTCTACATATTAGATAAAATAACTTAAATTATTATTTTATCTAATGTAAAAATATTTTTTACAAGATACAAAAGAGGAATCTTACCTCAACGTATAACTTCTAAACTTCTTGAGAAATTTCTTCGTAGAAATCTTGGGCATGTCATAAACTGTTAATATTAAGTATATGTTAAAATAAGCAAAAAAGAACTATAATCGTACAATAAAACAATACTCAGTTACTTAGTTTTCATACCATGTTTGCTCTTGCTCCAAATACTCAAATTGAAGTAGCACCGGAGAAGGATCACTCTTAACTTCATCACCGACGAACTGATGGCAAATAAATCGTTTGATAATAGGTACAAACAATATTACATTTGGCGTAGAACACTGGAATAATTCTAAAATTTAATATTAATTCACTTTTTTCTTATTCTAAAGATTAGGTTGATGAATGCATTAGCCAACCATAATAGTGTTCATGAAGAATAAAGAGTTTTTGACCTCTTTAATTGCATACTAAATAGTAATAAGTTTCACACCTATATTTTTATTCCTTTTTCCTTTTGAACCAGTGCAATTTTGACTTCTCTTTCATAGGGAGAATATATAATAAGTTTCCTATTATAATATCCTATAATTATTTAATTTCCTTTTCTTAACCTACGACAGTCCCTCTTCGTATGGGATGTCTATTTTTTTTGGGAAAGTTTCCCACTTATATACTTCTTTTTTTCCTTTTCTCCTACGATATTTTGTTTTTTGCTATAAACTTAATTTTTTATTTGTATTTACATTTTTATCCTACTTAGAGTGCTCTTAACGAAGGATAAAAATGACGAACGGCATTACGCTAAGGGTCTTTGTGCTTTTAATATAATATATAGATATAGATTTGTCGTGGTTTGACTTGACATTAAATTTAAGAAAAAAGGGAAGATTTTTAAAACTTGTGGCCTTAATATACCACAATAATAGTGTGGTCATAAAACATTTGAAACTTGTGGCATTAAATATTCCATATCATTTGTGTGACTAGAAAATTTCAAAAAAATATAAAAATATGTTTCTTTTTTCAAACAGACTAATAAACAAATAATATGAGTACATAAAAGTTGGACATCACTTAATTATTGGGCCTACTAGACAAAGCCTGCGTATTCTCTATTAAAGGAAAGGAGGCAGCCTTATCCATAACAGACAAGCCCATTTGTAATTTGTAAACATCAAAACAAACAGGCTAAGCAGATAAGATGAAATAGGAAGTTGCTCAACTTCTGATGAGGATTTTCCATTCTAGTTCTAGAGGGAGGAAGAGAAGTAGAAAGCAAGAGAGATGGCGGGAGCTTCCATATCTTCTTCTTGTTGGAGCTTAACTGGAAAATTCAAAACCCTTTCTCTCAATCCCTCTCACCCAAATCCAAATGCTGCTGCTTTCAAGCCCCTAAGCTTTTCTGCTAACACTTCGGTCAATCTATTTTCCAAAGGTACTCAGATCAGTTCATATACAACAACCATTCGCTTTAATTAAGGGCTCCTTATGATTTACAAATTGGTAAATTTTCAGGGTTTGTTTCGCTGACTCATCTGCAAAGGCCGTCACGTCGTTCCATTGTTTGCGAAGCTGCTCCAACGAAAAAAGCAGATTCAGCTGCCAAAAGAGCACGCCAAGCTGAGAAGAGGCGAATTTACAACAAAGCTCGAAAATCTGAGGTCAAAACTCGGATGAAGAAGGTATATTGCAATCCTAATTACTGATTTCCTGATAAACTTAGTTTGATTGAGCTTAATTCTGTTTCAATTGTCACCTATTGCATGTCCCACTGATTTTCCAACTTGTGCATTAATTTTTCATTGTTCTCAAAAAATTTCTGCACGACCATATTCATCTTTTTCCCTTTGAAGTTGTCTCGCGTAAGCATATTGGCCAAACTTGAATGAGTCAAAATGAGTTGAATCAATAAATGGATGATAATTCAATCCTGTCCAAAGTTTATTGGGTCAAGATGGGTTGATTAACTTGGTGGGACGCTGTAAATATCAATCGAGCGGTGACAAAACTAAAATGAGAGCACAGCATATACTGGAAATTTTAGGAAACAAAGAAAAAACCATTGCTAGTAAGTAATGACTTTTTAAGGTGCAAGTCCCCCTATGAAGCTATGTTCCATATCTCCGCGTGAAGCTAATGTCTTATCTCATATATTTGGGATGTCCCATAATGTGTTCTACTGTTACCACTTAATAGTTTTTAGGATCAAAAGTGAACATTTTCCAGAAAGACTAACTATTACTTTGCCGAAAAGTTAAAGCTATATGGCAACTTGCATACCTGCATATTTAAGGTAGTGTTTTCCTATTACAGGTTTTGGAAGAATTGGACAGCCAGAGGAAGTTCTTACCATCGAGAAGCTGATAGCAGAGGCATATTCAGTAATTGATAAAGCAGTCAAAGTAGGAACGCTTCACAGGAACACTGGAGCAAGAAGGAAATCACGGCTTGCAAGAAGAAAGAAAGCAGTTGAGATCTATCATGGCTGGTATGTACCATCTCCAGCCGCTGAACCTGCTTCTGCAGCAACAGTTTAGCCTTTTCCTTGTTGAATGTAAAGCAGTGACTTGAGTAATCAGCTACCTAGAGTATGATGAATTATTTCACATTTTTATATTTTATATCAACTTGTTTGTGCAATCATTGTCCTCTTCTGTAGCACGGAAATCAGCAATGCGATTTTATTTGTTAAAGACACTTGAACATGTTTCAGCTAGACATTTTTTCCCATAAAATGTTGGATAGAAGAAACAGAAGAGTGGTGAACCAAAAAAAAGAGAAGGGGACATGTGGAGAGTAATGCATCCTTTCCAGATATACTTGTTGTCGTATTGATGTTTTGGTGACACTGCTACATACGAGCAGAATGTGCTTATACACAGTAGTGTCAAAAACAAAGAATGTGCTCTCAAAATTGATTAGAGGTCATCATAATGTTTTAGCTGATTAGTAACACTCAACAGGGTTTTTTAGAAGTTGTAGTGAGATTTACGCACTCACCAACTCAATGCAGACTTACCAAAGTAAGCAGAGAAGTCTAGTTAGAACAATTGCTACAGGATGTAGGGCGGTAAGCTGATGCCTTCAGTGGATAAAGATTAAAGATGAGAATATTCCTTGAAATGGAACTTGTTTTATAGATAGTGAAGCCAACTATCTAATCCAGTGTTTGAAACAAAACCGAAGGGCAATATTTGTGGCACCGCATATAATAAGCTGATGACGCTTTTCGCTTTAGAAAATACATCAAAAGAGATGCCTCAAAGATTCTTAATCGACGGTTACATTCTTATGAAACAAACAGGATATCGTAGAAAACTAGCTCTAGTGCACCGTTCACGGATCACCTACCCTTTTTCATTCTTATTCAACTTCTCATTCTTCTGTTTCCTAAACCTCTTTCATTGTCCCATAAATTTCTTACAGCATCCTCCAGAATTTTGTCCTTGCTCCAAGCACCAATCTCCTTACATGTCATCTCATTGAGATGATACAATCTGTCATCTTATCTTCCACTGTTGTTATGACCACGAATCATGTAAGGTGAGACAAGATTGCTTATTCTGCTTCCTCCACAATTAACGAGTAGAAAGGGGGACAAGTGAACCACAGGTCATTATTCAGTGACTTCGGGCAGGTAAAACTTGCGGAGCAGTTTCTCAAAGAATATAACTTCCAAATTGAAGACCAGCATTGGCTATAAATTATAATATGAAAAGATTGGAGAAATAATGTTATCAAGTTTTTATATCTCCAAGTTTGTTTGTAAGGGGTACCTAAATGAGAGTGCAGGAAACTTGTTACACACAAAATGTGCACTCCAAATTATCACCATCCAGTTAATTGTTTGCTGATAACATGTTTGCATCAACATGCAGTGATCAAAGCCCCTAGTTGATCTTGATTTGCTAACATTTCCATAGAAAATGTTAAGTGCCTTTCTCATCATTCTAATGCAAGCCAATAGTACGTCAAGCAAAAATAACATAATTAGTGGAGCAGGCCTTACCTAGTATTCTCATTCCTCCTTCCCTTTTTTGTCATTTCCTTCTTCTCCAACTCTTTTCTTTTCTCCTTTAGCTTGATGTTCATGGCATCCACTAACAAATTTGTCCTTGGCTCTGGCACCATATTCTTTGAAATCATCTCATTGAAATAACACAAAGCATCCTCTAATCTTCCCCCTTCAAAAAGACCATGAATCATAATTGTATACGATCGTTGATCGGGTCCTAGTCCACTCCTCTCCATCTCATCCCATGTACTCTTTACTCTTTCTTGATTATCCCAGCTCATAAACAACCTTAACAGCAAATTATAGGTATCTCCAAGCATTTTACATCCATTTTTATTCATCCTTTCCAAAATCCCAATAGCTTCCTCAGGCGTCTTGGCGGAATTCAACAAGTAACCATAGGTTCTAGCATTTGGCAAACAACCCTCTCCCTTAGTTTCCATCTCGTCTAAAAGCTCATAAACCTTATCCATCCGCCTAATCTTACATAAATGCTTAATCAACGAATTATAAGTGGCGGCATCAGGCAAACAATCTCTCTCATTCATTTCCCGGAAAATATCCAAAGCTTCAGGAATTCTCTTCTTGAAACACAATCCATCAATAATACAATTGCAAATTGCCACATCCGGCTTACACCCTTTTTCCCACATTGTCTGAAACAACTTCACCGCAGTGCTTATTTTCCCTGATTTGCATAGCGAATTGATGAATATTCCATACGTAAACTTATCCGGCTTACACCTTGAAGTCACTATATCATTCCAAAACCTCTTTGCCTCACGTAAACTCCCCAAAACACACCATCCATTCAGAATGATATTACGCATCTTTATATCATGCTTGAACTCATTTTTCTTATTGTGAAACAAGAATTCAGCAGCTTCAACATGCTTGAATCGACACAAACAAACGAGAAGCGTCTGAAAAGCAATAAGATCAAGCTCCAAACCCAAATCTTTCCTCTTATAGAAAAACTCTATTGCATCTTCAACTTTATGGGCTGCAGCATATCTATTAATCACAATGCCATAAGTTCTTTCATTAACCAAATTTCCTCTCTTAGACATTTCATCAAGCACTTGGTTGAGTTCATCAAAACGCCTCATTCGCCCAAGTATATCAAGAATTTCATTGAAAGATCCAGTCTTTGGTGAATACCCACCTGCTAATACCCATTTGAAGAAGGTAAAAGCTGGTTTCCAATCAGAACGGTGCCGTTTAAGCACGTCAAGAATGAAATCTTCGGATAGTGTAAAATTGCATTGGTTAAGGGATTGAAATATGTCACTCACTGATTTATTTGCTTCAATCTTGAGAAGGGTCTGCACTTTCAACGCGCAGTTCTCCTCAGAAGCATTTGCAGCGAATTCGTCGGAGTTTGTGTGCGTTTGGCGATGATAGTTTTGTACTGGGACGGGAAAGGGAGGCGCTGCTTTGTTTGTTAATATAAATATGGATTGGAAACTGCATAAACGGTGAATTTTCCGGTAGAGTTGTTTAGTTGACATTGGTAATTAGAAAGTGAACGCCGAATGCGTGATGCTAGCTGGGAAAAATTGCTGTGAATTTTCCGGTGGAGCGCTGGGGGAGAGGAGCTATGGAATGAAAGTAGAAGCAAATGCAAAAGATGTGTAATGTCAAACGTTTAAATAAAAGTTACTAATTCAAGTTGGACAAAAGAACAGAGGATGGAGATGTTTCATACTGCAAAGAAAGTTTCACAAGCATACATTCTTTTTTGGGTAATTTCTGATATACTTAACTCTTATTTTGTTAAACAAACATCACTTTACTTTACCTAAATATTCAAACAAAATGGTTGCTCAATTTTTGGGGGAAAATGACAAAAATAGTCTCTTATGTTTGAGGTTAGATTTAAGTAGTTTTTTAAGCAGTTTTATTCTTTTAGGTTTGCCAAAAGTGAACACTTTTAGGATGTGTTTGGTACGAAGCAAAATATTTTCTATGGAAAATGTTTTTCTCGAAAATATTTTTCTGGAAAATGAGTGACTTTAACACTTATTTTTTTTTGGTGAGTGAAAAAAAAAATTGAAAAATATTTTTTGATGTTTGGTTAGAGAGTAGAAAATATTTTTTAGAAAAATAATTTTTTATGTTATTCTCCTCACTCCCCTTCCCTCAAATCCCCATGTTTTCTGTGCTCCCTCCCCCCAAATACTCAACGTTTTCAGGATTCTATTTTTTTAAGAATTTAATTATTCTTTTAAAAGTTATACAAACCCAAATAAACTAACGTGTTGCTTTACTCTTTTATGCAAAAACAACGTTAAAATTTGTGCTTCATAACTAAAAAAAATACTTTTTTTGGTTGAAAAAGAAAGTACACTTTCTTCGACATGAAAACAAAGTACTCATTTTGTTGAAATGAAAGAAAATAGTTTTTCTACATCATGAAAAGAAAATACTTATTTTTCCTTCTCTTGATAGGGAAAACGTTAATTGGAAGAAATGTTTTCCAAAATATCTAATCCAACCAAACATGAGAAAATTGAAAAAATATTTTCCTTCATACCAAACGAACCCTTAGTCTCTGTCAAATATTTAACAATTTATGTTCGTTTGATTTGATGAAAACAATGAATTTTTTTTAACGTGGAACATTGAGACTAGGGGTGGGCGTTCGGTCGGTTCAGTTCGGTTTTAAGAAATTCGGTTCGGTTATTTGGTTTTCGATTTTGTAAAAGTAGTAACCGAAACTGAACTGAAATAACTTCGGTTCAGTTCGGTTTCTAATTTCGGTTCGATTTATTTCGATTCAGTTTTCGGTTTGAATATTATCATATTGGGCTTTCTCTATGTAATAATTGGACTAACGAATTTGTTGATTTTGTTTCAAAATTTCGGTAAATTAGACTGAAACCAACCGAAAATTTGTTGGTTTGCTAATAATTCGATTTTTCGGTTAACCGAACCAAATAAATTAATAACCGAAAAACTAAAATTTTAAACCGAAACCGACCGAAAAACCGAAAAACCGAAACCGAAATAAAAATATTTTCGGTTCGGTCGGTTTTTTCGGTTCGGACCGAAATATGCCCACCCCTAACTAAGACCCCGTTTGTCCATACAAAATTTTTCCTCTTTTTTAAAAAAAAAAAAAAATCAAAAATGTGTTTGTCCAAAAAAATTTGTAAGTTTTAACATCACTTTTTCAAAATTTTCAGAAAATCGTTTTTTCCACTCACAAACTGCAATATTTTTTCAAGTGAAATACATGTTCAAATATAATTTCAAATTCCCAATATCATTTTTTAACTCAACTCCAAATACTACTTTTTTTCAAAAAGTACAATTTTTATGTCCAAACGTCTACTAAGAAAGTTCCATCATCAAATCTTAAAAAAACATAAAACATTACACTAGACACAAAAAAGTACCAAAAATAGAAAAGTTCACATCTTAAAAGTTACACCAAACTTTAAAAATAAATTAAAAATAGCAGAAATTATAAAAAATTATACCTCTAAACGTGAACTTCCGCTAATTTCTTTTTACTTTTCACTGTCTCGTGAAATCTAACACAAAAAGTTCGTTAAATATTTGAAGACCATTTAATTTCATCTTCTTGAAATAAAGTAGAAATGGTATCAAATAACGCTTTGAGTATTTTTATTTACTAGTATCTATAAACGAGCGTTGCACGTTAAAAATGACACATGATGGTTTAAATATTTGAATATATGAAGAAACAATAAAATTTAATTACTGAGAAAAAATTTATATAATACTACAACAATCATCTAAATGCCGAAAAATATTGTTACATTAACATAATACGTGAATTCAAAATGAAAGTATATCATCAGAACTTACATAAATGATCAATTTTAGTCATGTTAAGTAGATAATTATGTATTTTGTAGTTTAAAGGTATCTAATGTGATGGTATCTTACCGAACACTTCTTTATAGACTGTGTTTTTTTTATATATGTTTCCTTCTAGTGCTTTGGTTACTCTGCATAACCAGAACCCTTGTTGTTGATATTGATATCTCTCTTAAAAGTACAACATATAGTTTTTCGTGTAAGAAAACATATTGTGATAAATATAGTTCAATATTTAGTATGTTTGTCCTTGTGCTTTGTTTATTATAACTACAAAACATAAACACATTGAAACTTATTTTCACACAAATTTAAAAGGATATTCTTTAGTTTCGTAAGACGAAAGTTGAATTCGGGGATAAACACATACTTAGAAGCACATTGACCAGTATCATAAGTTCTGCATGTATGACGTTATTGTCAAAACTTCAATATACCATATGTGTACTATTACATAACCTATTCAGCGGATCTAACTTTCAGTAGCATTACATGCATATTTTTCTTCAAAATCAATGTATATGCAATAAAAGATCAATTTTAACTTAGTCTATTATATATATGGTGACACTAACATACGTAAGAAATAATGAACTTGACAACAAACATGTACGGTAGAAGGCCATTTGGTATTAAAGTATTTAAGTATTCTTCTTAGTAATTATTATTGGTATCATCTCTGCTAAGTCAAAACCGAATTGTATTTTGTTTTTACCATAAAACTTAGCAATCAACCTTTTATTTAGTTAATCAACATATTCATTTCTGCTTGCTAAGATAGTTCTTTAATTTCTATCATGTAATTTGCACAAATTGCATTTTAATCTAATGATGAAAATATTTTCCTTATTAAATGCACTACTATTACCATTGAGGTTGATAACCAAGTGTTCTAGAAGAACCAAATCATCTTTTATTGTATGCTCTTCTTCGTTTCTGACATGAAGCAAGAAGTCACTGAATGTTGGATCTGTTCTTACTTTTATATTTCCTGTCATCTGAGTATTTTTCATTTGAGGTGATAAGTATAATTTTGGCAAGCTAGCTTTTACAGTTTCTGCTTTGGTCAATTTTGGAACTACTGATCGTACTTGACAGAAATTACCTCCCAAACTATTACTTTTCCACCAAACGGTTTATCGATATCCAAATATCTCTAAAACTCTGGGCAATTATTTCAATAGTTTGACTGTCACAACCCAAATTTCCTTTCCGTATGACGTCGTGACGGCACCTAGTCTCAATGACTAGGTAAGCCTAACATTTTGCGGAATAATAAAATAAAAACATAAATTTAACAACTAACTGTAGCAGTAACAACATAACTGGGTACCATGCCGCCTGGCATGTACAATAACCAACTATTCAAAAATACACAAAAATCCCAAAACCCGGAACATCATAAGCCACAAGCTACAGAAGGAAACTAGTATCTCTATACACCATAATCTAATAATATAAGTAAGGAAGGTAAATGACATATGAGGGAATAGAGGGGGACTCCGAGGTCTGCGGACGCGACAGATATACCTTGAAGTCTCCGTACAACAACAAGCACTCTCAGCTAGTAGCGGGGCTGATAAAAAGTACCTGGATCTGCACACAAAATATGTGCAGAAGAGTAGCATGAGTACACCACAACGGTACCTAGTAAGTGCCAAGCCTAACCTCGATCGAGTAGTGACGAGATCAGGTCAGGGCCCTACTGGTATATATAAAATAAACTAAGACAGAATAAAATATTGCAGTAAAATAAGTTCTGAAATTTAACAAAGAATGAAATCATAGCAAGTCAACAGCTCAGTACACTGAAATAACAACAGGGGATCTACCGGAATACCGTTCTGTAGTCCCAAAGTAAATATGCAGAGTAGGGGAGTCTACCGGAATACCATTCCGTAGTCCCAAAGTAAATATGCAGAGCATGGGGATCTTCCGGAATATCGTTCCGTAGTCCCAAAGTAAATATGCAGAGCAGAGGGATCTACTGGAATACTGTTCCGTAGTCCCAAAGTAAATATGCAACGCAAACCATAGAAATACAACTACGTCACAAAATCTTACGATTTAGACTAAGTATCAGTCAAGAAAAAAGCGGAAAATTCACTAAGCATGCTACACAGAGTTCACATAAGCAATTAAGACACGTAGACATGTTGTTCTAAACTAAACAGGATAAATTCATATGCTAGTGTAGTTCAGTTAAAGGAAGACAGGTATTTTACTTAATGAAAAATGGAGTTTTTCAACAATAGCCCGTACGCACTCGTCACCTCACGTACACGACGCTCATATATCAAAAATAGTACCAAATCCTAAGGGGAGTTCCCCCCACAAGGTTAGGCAAGCCACTTACCTCGAACTAAGCTCAATCAATCGGTCAAAATGCCTTTCCCACGAATATCCGGTTCCGAATGGCCCAAATCTAGACAAAATAAATTACATATCATAAATACAACCATAATAGACTCATCTAATTAATGAAGTCAATACTTTAACAAAAATTTCGAAATTCACCCTAAAAAGTAGACCCGGGCTCACGTCTCGGAATCAGATAAAAGTCACAAAATACGAACACCCATTCACTCACGAGTTCACTCATACCAAAATTAACCAAATCCAATGTCTAAATCCCAATCAAAACTCAGAAATTCGGTTAGGGAACTTTTTCCCCATTTTCCCAACTTTTCAAATCCCAAATCCGAAAATAAATAGAGAAAAACAACTATAGATTAATGAAATACAACCAAAAATGAGATAGGAATCGTCACCCCAAAGCTCTCTCTGAAAATCCCTCAAAGAATCGTCAATTCCCGAGCTCCCAAATCCAAAAATGAAGAAATGAATCAAACCCTCG